TTAAGTCCATCTGGTCTAGTTTTTTGTTTGGTTCCACTATTTGCTTGTTGACTTTCTGTCTTGATGATCTATCCATTGATGTAAGTGGGGTGTTAAGGTCCCCTAGTATTATTGTGTTGCTATTAATATCTCATTTTAGGTCAATTAATAGTTGCTTTATGTACTTTGGTGCTCCTGTGTTGGGTGCATATATATTTATAAGTGTTACGTCCTCTTAGTGGAGTGTCCCTTTTATCGTTATATACTTCCCCTCTTTGTCTCTCATTGTCTTTTTTATTTTGAAGTCTACTTTGTCCGAAATAAGTATGGCACCCCCTGCTTTCTTTTGTTTGCCATTAACTTGATGTATCAACTTCCATCCCTTCATTCTAAGCCTGTGTTTGCTTTTAGAGCTGAGATGTGTTTCCTGTAGGAAGCACATTGTTGGGTCTTGTTTTTTAATCCATCCAGCCACTCTGTGTCTTTTGATTTGTAAATTCAATCCATTTACATTTAGAGTGATTATTGATATATGAGGACTTAATCCTGCCATTTTATCACTTGTTTTTCAGTTGTTTGTATTTCCCTTGTTTCTCATCCCATGTATTTCAGAATGCCAATTCAGTTTGGTGGCTCTCTATGATGGTTTTCTCAGTTTTCTTTTTATTTATCATTTGTGTCTTTCTTCTGCTTTTTTTTTTTTTTTGAGTGGTTACCATGAGGTTTAGTATAAAAGATCTCATAGATGAGATAGTCCATTTTCTGATAGCCTCTTATTCCCTAATTCTAAGCAGGTTTCATCCCTTTCCTCTTCCCCTTCTAAGTTGTTATTGTCACAACTTATTCCACTATCTGTTGTGAATTTGTGGTTAAAACGAAGTGATTCTATTTCTTTTTCATGTTTCCCTTCCCTTTATCTTTAGAGTTACAATTGTTTGCTGATCTGTTCTGATAGAGAGTTGCAATTTTCTGATTTTGTCTGCCTATTTATCTCCTTGCTCAAGGCTTTGTAAACCCCCCCTTTTTTTTTTTGTCAGGTATGACAGCCTTCTTGATCAAATCTTGTGTGTGGGGGGGTGGGTCTTGGTGGCAATGAACTCCCTTAGCTTTTGTTTGTCTGGGAAAGTTTTTATTTCTCATCATATCTGAAGGATATTTTCACTGGATACAGTATTCTTGGCTGAAAGTTTTTGTCTTTCCAAATTTTGAATATATCGCTCCAATCTCTTCTAGCCTCTTAGGTATCTTCTGAGAAATCAGCTGAAAGACTGATGGAGCTTCCTTTGTAGGTTATTTTCTTCTGCCTTGCTGCCTTTAATAGTTTTTCTTTGTCATTGACTTTTGCCAACTTTACTAATATATGCCTTGGAGAAGGTCTTTTTACCTTGATCTAATCAGGAGTTCTGCTGGTTTCATTTACATGTAATTCCAGCTCCTTCTCCAGGTTTGGGAAGTTCTCAGCATTATTTCTTTGAATAAGCTCTCTGTTCCTTTCTCCCTCTCTTCTCCCTCTGGAATATCTGTAATCCTTACGTTGCATTTCCTAATTGAGTTGGATATTTCTCAGAGAATTTCTGCATTTATTTTCAGTCTTAGTTCTCTCTCCTCCTCCATCTGAAGCATTTCTGTATTCCTATCCTCTAGATTGCTAATTCTATCCTCCATAATGTCAGCTTTGTTATTTAAGGACTTCAGATTTTTCTTTCTCTTTCATTGTATTTTTCATCTCCAACATTTCTGATTGGTTTTCCTTTATAGTTTCGATCTCTTCTGTGATGAATCTCCTCTGTTCATTAATTTGGTTCTTGATTTCATTGAACCATCTTTCTGAACTCTCTTGTAGCTCGTTGAGTTTTCTTATGATGGCTGTTCTGAATTCTGTCATTTATATTGTAGACTTCTGTGCCTTCATGATTGATTTCTGTGTGTTTGTCTTTTTCCTTCTGATCTGGAGTATTAATATATTTCTTTATACCATTTGATGGAATGGATATGTGCTGACGCATAGTGATAGCATCTGGTTGCAGGTTCCATCTGTTGCCACTGGGGTGGGGGTGGGGGGCAGGAGCTGTGTAACCTGAGCCTGCCACAATCCCCGTCAGCTATGCCTGTCCCAGACTGGGCCACTCCTTGAGATCACAGCAGTGCTGTGGGGTCTCCCACTGAATAGGAAGGCAGTCACGCAGGGGCTTAGGGCTGCTGCCACCTGCTCCCATAGTCTTACTGAGATGCGCTCCCCGCTTCAAGACTGCAGGGATATTATGGGAATTCACGGCAGCCAGGAGCTCATTCAGTTTGCCCAGACTCAGCTTAGCCACCGTCTGCTTCCAGGTCCTACCAGCTGTTGTGTTTGGTGGGCGGGACCTCCTCACTGGGTCCGAACCAGGGCCACTCTGTGGGACCACGGTGGGACCATGGACTTTACCACTGGATGAGAGAGTGATCACATAGGGGCTCAGGACAGCACCAAGTTCAAAATTGTTCAGGCTAAATATCCTACTATAGGGAGTCATGAGGGTAGTTGCTAGAGTTCTGTGTTCTCCACAAGTAAAGAACGCTCAGTCCTTCTCTTTGTCTCTACCGCAAAGTCAAGCCAAAGATGAGCAGCAGGACTGCAAGGAGGCTGGAACTGATAATGGTGAAAGTGAGCATTCACATGCGATGAAGTGAGCAATGAAATGGCTACACTCTAGCCCAGGATCCCAGAAGTCCTGGGCTGTTCCCAAATTGACTGGTAAGCCAGTCCCCTCACAGGAGATGCATAGAAGAGGTGGCAAGAGGAAAGGAAAGTGGGCTAAGGAGGCTTCAGGGGCCCAGCTCTTGTTTTGATTGTGACCATCCATCCACCACCTTGGGCTGAGAATACACAGTACATGTGTGACAAGGATGACAATCTGAGGGCTTTGCCCTGCTTCTCTGGGTTGTGAGAAGATCTGACCCAGTCTATGGGAAGTGGTTAGGAATCCTTGTGAAAAAGGAATAGTGTCAATTGAAGAACTGTATCAGTTAGTTAAAATGTTTCAGTGAGAAAAGGAGGTATGGAAACTATATGCAGAGCCCCAGTATTTAATTTATAGGGAGAAGACTAACTGGCTTTTTAATGGACATATGAAGGGCTGAACCAAGCCAAGAGGGTAATGTTACACATCAAAGGAAATCTATAGACTTTAGGGTGTTGCCTTTTATATACATACTTCAAACTCATTCTCAACTGGTTGGTGTGGTGATCAGGGTGCATTAGGCAACGGGAGGCAGACACTAATGTAACATATCAACTGTAGGAAGCAGCTACCACACGTAGGGTTTGGGGCACATAGGGAAAAAGTTGGGTTTGCCATAATGGGGAAGCTTGCAAGAGAGGTCCTGCAGACCTGGGACTCAGATATTGGGGGGTGCTGCCTGATGGGTGCTGGTACAGGTTTCCCCCCACCCCCATCTGAAAGTAGAGTGTTGCTGAATAAAACAAACAAAAAGTATATTGTTGTTATGAAACCTTTCGTAAGCCAAGACAGCGTAAAGCAAAGAAGCAATTACCAGTAATTCACATGGGAAAAGTTTTTGAGCATTCCCAGACCCCCAAAATAACCTAACAACACATAAAAACTAAAATAACACTAACATATAGCGAAAGCAGGAATGATATGATAAATACAAAGCCTATATAAAGTAAAATAACATATGTAGAGTGCAGTTTCACTTACCAGAATTGGGAAGAGGGTGAGCACACAGGAAGGCTGAGAGGTGGTAGTGGTGATGATGGTGTGTTAGACTCATCAAAGATTGGCATATCCAAAAGAGTTGGTATCCAAAGCCCTTCAGTAATCGATCCACCCCCCAGGCTGTCTCCCATTACCCCACCATAAATCTCCAGTGATGCCAGGCTGACCCAAACAGATCACATTCAAGCCCACCTCTCTGCCTTTGCTCAGGCTTTTCAAAGATGTTATTTTTCCCTCTGTGTAGAGCAGAGGTAAGTACGTGAGTCTAGGAACTGGCCTGCACAGCTCGTCCTAGGGCCATGCTCCAGGACAGCGTATACAGGCAAATGTGGAGTGGCCCAGGCAAGGCTTAACCTGAGGAAACAATGACGTATATCCTTACGTCCCGCCTTTGCTTTTCCTTTTTCCCCCAAATTAAAAATTTTTGGCTGAGGTAGAATGTACATTCTCCTTTGCTCATATTTAATTCCTCAAAAGGCTCAAGCAGGGGCCAGCCTCGTGGTACAGTGGTTAAGTTTGGTGTGCTCCACTTCGGCAGCCCAGGTTCATGGGTTCAGATCCTGGGCACAGACCTGCATTGCTCGTCAAACCATGCTGTGGTGGCAACACATATACAAAGTGGAGGAAGATAGGCATGGATGTTGGCTCAGGGCAGATGTTCCTCAAGCAAAAAGAGGAAGATAGGCAATGGATATTAGCTCAGAGCGAATCTTCCTCAAAAAAACAAAACGATGACAACAAAAAGCCTCATGCAGACACCATGACACTTGCTTTTCACCATAGCTTAATTAAGGAACTAACACACTGCATGCACAGGCCAAGAACCATCAACGACACATCCATCTCTTAACACTTTCTCTCCATGGTGATTTCACAAAGGCTTAAATATTTATGCCTTGTTCTGGATAAGTTTTAAATTTGGTTCTTAGTGTTCCTCACACTCACTCTTCCATTCACCTGTAGTCAGAACCTCCAGTAGCCCTTGTATTTTCCTTACTCCTGTGATTGCCCTTCTCAGTGATACCTCAACGTCTTCCCAACCCAATTCTATTCCTCCTCTCCCCATTTCCTGCCCCTTAATCTTTCTCTGCCATGTCCTACTGCCCTGATGAAGGTTCTACACTTAGATCCTCTTCAGGACCCTGCAGGCTTCTGCATAATGTTTCTAACGGAGAAAATTACAACCAAAGGCCAGGAAAGTGGAGGGAGAAACACCTTTATTTACAGCAGAAATAGTAATGCATATAAACTTGTAGAAACCACTTACCATAAGAGAAAAGAAACCAGTAACTGGGGTGGAGGTGATAGTAAGATGAGAAATCTTACAAATATTACCCTAGAAGTTACCCTTGCTCTAAGATTAAGTCACTTAGATTTAGTATTACACATTTGCTTAACCTATCCTTCCTCTCCTTTGTTCCCATTTTGGTGGTGGCTGGGTTACAGAGCAGTGATCTGCTCTGAAGGTAGCAGTAGTACATAACAGTAGGTGCCTAGAGGTCAATTATGGGTTTAGAATAGATCCAGGCTGTTAACTTCTAGATGTGCTAACCAGGAGGAAGAATTTCTTCTCTGGCATGGACCAGAAACACTTTTCAGGACACTGGCCACCCACCGTCTGTTCAGAAGAAAGATACCATGGTTTCCCCACAAGACTTGTGGATTCTACAGCCTTCTTTCATTCAAAGCAAAACTGAGGTCCACAGTGAGACAGGATTCTGGAGTCATACACAGAGCTAGAAAGAGTTCATCATTCTTATCCTGATTCTTACTGCTGGGCAGGGTTCTTAAGTGCTTAACTGGTTGTCAATCACTCTACTGCTAAGCCAGGGATTGGCTAGTAGAACTCTCCATAAGCAGAAGGAAGCTCAAAGGAAAATATGTTCACCTAAGGAATTGATCTGTCAGGTTTCCTGCACACTCATGGCATCTCTGCTCCTTCCTGTGATGTCAGTATCTCTTTCATGTGTACCCTCCAATGGCGGACGAGGGCAGAGTTCTTAGTGAAGCTTTTTGCACAGTGAGAACACTTGTAAGGCTTTCCCCCAGTGTGGGTTTTCTGGTGGGCCCTGAAGTGGGAGCTGTTGTTGAAGTTTTTCCCACACTGCACACACTTGTATGGGCTCTCCCCAGTGTGGACACGCCGGTGGGCGCTAAACTGGGAACTGTTGTTGGATCTCTTTCCACAGACAGTGCACTGATATGGCTTCTCCCCAGTGTGCGTCCTCTGGTGGACGACGAGGCTAGAGCTCTAGTTGAAGCTTTTCCCACATTCCCCACACCGATAGGGTCTCTCCCCTGTGTGAGTTCTTAGGTGTGCCGTGAGGTTGGAGCGCTCACTAAAGCCCTTCCCACATTCACTGCACTTGTGAGGCTTCTCTCCTGTGTGGATTCTTTGATGCCGAACACGATAAGAACCTCGGCTAAAGCTTTTCCCACATTCGTGACATTGAGAAGTTTTTTCCAGTTCAGGAGCTGGCTGGTGGTGAGAGGGAGAACTCTGAGAGCACTTTCTCCCACACAGGAGATGTGCACAGGCCTTCTTCCAAGTAGGAAGTCTCTAGTGACTCATCCTTTCCTGGGATGGGGGTTACTTCGTCACTCTCCCCTGGAGAACATCTATGTTGCCTTCTTGACATTGGCCCACCCTTCCAGCCTCTTTTTAGCTCAGAGTGCCAAAAAACTTCACTAGAATTTCTCTGTAAAGCCTTGTTCATGTCTGCTTCCTCTGAGTCATTCCATTTCAGATTCTTCTTTTTAATCTCATTCTTGATCTCAAAATCTGAAAGAACAGAAATATAATGGACTGGAGAGAAGGAAACAAATGGAATGAGAAAAAAGTTACAATTGAACTTGATTAAGAAGAAATACCTAATTGGATTTCTTCATGTGATTCAGTCTTCTGCTAATTAAAAGCCTAAGTTTCTCTTTCCAATTGCAATATTTTTAAGGTCCAAATTTGTGGTCACAGGCAAATATACCCTAAACTCCACCAACTTTTCTCCTATTTCTTCTTGGATGATCTGACACAATGACAAAACTGAAGCAAAGAGTCAAGTTCTGTGTCATCTGTCAATCTGTCTGTACATGTATCCTCAATTTCTGAATGGCCAAGTTTCTGTGAAGAGAAAAACAAAAGGCCACCCTCAATGGCCAGCTCAAACATGAAGAAAGCAAGTTGCTGAGTAGCTAGCAAGTGCAGCCTTAGATCATGAAAGAAGGATCAGTGCTGGAGGAGGAGGGAAGGAGAGAGAGTCTGGGCTGGGGGCCTAACTGGCAATCTAAGGAAGCAAAGTATGTGGAACTCCATGGGAAAAAATGGCATGGACTCTGTGAAAGAGGCTGGCAAATGCAAAATTGGAGTCTAAAGAGCAAGGGAAAGAATCTTCAAACACCACGAAAACCATGACTCCCTGGCCTGTATCAAGTCAACACCAAGATGATGGCAAGGCCAGGAGCAGAAATGGCTCCCTCTTCATTGCCAGGCTAATGGTCTCTAAGTGGACTTTCCATCCTTTGACTGTCAGAGCCAAGAGTCTTACCAAGTCTGTTTGGGAACAGGACTGACAGGTCAAATCTGCTAACTTCCTGGCCAGGATCCCTGAAGTCCTTTTCATCCCCTGCTGCAGCACCCACAGTGGTACCTTCTCCAACCTCTGTGGGCTCCCTGTTCTGCAGACTCAGCTCTCCAGCCTCCATATCACTTCCCTCTTGGCCAGGAACAGCATCACTTGCCACAGTTGCTGCAGAGGACCAGGAGCTTGAAAGGGCATCCATTTCCTCATGAAAGATACAAGGCTCAGGCACATGGCCTCTCCTCACTTTGTGGTAACGCGACTGTAGGATTTTGACCTTAGTGCGACACTGCTCTGCGGTCCGCAGAAAGCCCTGCTCCTGCACTTGTTCTGCTGCGGCCCTGTAGATCTGGATGATCTGCTCACGGGTCAGGGGTTTTTCATGAAACTCAGAATTACTGAGAACGGCCAGGAGTGTCTTGGTCTCTTCATAGCCCCAGTGCACACCTGCTGCCAGGGCACAAGAAACACAGCGATCAGATCAGAGAGGACCAGATACCACAGTGCAGGCTTTTAGCAGCCCAAGAACTTACATCCTAGTTTCTCAAACTATGCCACAACTGGCTGCTGTCATTCCTGGGAACATATCTCACTGTGGGCTTTTTTCCTAAAACAAAAACTTTCAGTGTAGTGGAAAAGACATCCTCTTCAGCTGAGAAGGAGTTGCAGAAATAAAGCTGCCTTTTTTATTTCTCTTTACCCTGAATCCCACTCATTTCCCCTGCGATATGACTCACGATAAGGGTAGTGCTTGCCTGCCTCCAGTTGTGGGAATCCCTGAGGGCCTACGGCCGCATAAGAGGGCATGGTGAACAGGCGAGACTCGGAGGGAAGCAAAGAGTCAGAGGAGAGAAGAGCTGGTTATAGGATACTTCTGCCTACTGCCACCTCTGATGCCCGAGTACCTCTTGATCTGACCCATCCCCGACTGTTTATATCTCCTGTCATCAGTGTAGATGCAAGAAACTAACTTACAGCACTTACTATCCCAAGCTGAGAATAAGAAGTAAACGTCTGAATGGAGCAGACAAGATGGCTAGTTGCTCCAGACCACTGCACACACTCCTCAAAGGGGTGCTTGTCTGGGCCGGTCAGTGAGGGCTCATTTGTCTAGAGCTGTCCCGGCAAGTGGGTTCTGATAACATCTGGTCATGATGCTCCGAAGGGCACGCAGCAGCCCCTTCTCATCACCCTCTCTCCTCCACTCTGCTCTGAGCCATCATCTCAAACCTGGATAACTGCTGTAGCCACCTACCCAGTCTTCTTGATTCTACTCTTGACCTCCTACAGTCTATTTTCAACCCAGCTGTCAAAGTGGGCCACCTCCTTCACTCAATTCAACTAACATGTATGAGCACCTACTATGCCACTGAGAAATGCAAGTATCAACATGACATGGATTCTGCCTTCAAGGAGGCCACAGTCCTATGAAAATCTGTGTAACAAAAAGGAGACACAAACAAATGTTTAGGTAAAGGGCCAAATACATTGAAATACTCAAAGTGATCCTTTTGAAAGTGTTACTCCTCTGCTCAGAAACCTTGCAAAGCCACCCCATTTCACTCAGAAAAAGTCCAAGTCCTTACAAAGTTCTATATGTAGGGCCACAAGGCCTGAAACAGTGCTTCTCAAATTATCTGCGAAGAACCAGGGTTTTTTTTTATTTTTTTTAGAAATATAATAAACATGCAGTTGGATAGTACAGTGATGTACAGTGATGAAATTTTTAAATGCTTCCTCTCCATTTCAGTTCATGTCACTTTCAATAGCACTGCCCCATGTGACATGACTCTGATCTTGTTTATTGCTCTCATCCTCTCTCAATCTGCACTAGTCACACTAGCCTCCTTGCCTAGACTCACTCCAGCCTCAGAGCCTTTGCACTGGCCATTCCCTCTGTGTGTTACACTCTTCCCCCAGAGAGCCACATGGCTTGTTCCTTCTCCTCCTTCAAGTCTTTGTTCCAATGTCATTTTCTCAATGAGGACTACTCTGACAACTCAAACAAAAACTGCAACCCACCCTCTGCCCCTGCACTCTTGATCACTCTTATTCTGCTCCATTGTCCTGCAGCTGCAATGGAACCTGTTAACTAGACTAAAATGACAGCCTCTTGAATTCACACAATGGCACCTGCTAGGACATCACCCACTTTCCATAGAGAATACAGCACTCATTCCCCAGGCTAACGTCACCTTCATTCTTTTATGTTCTAGTGACAAAATCTAGATATAGCACCTAGCCAGACAATTCACTACTTTCATGACAGAAACACACCTGGCTTTGGCTTTCCAATTTCAAAACTCAAACGAAAACTCCCTGGGTTATCCAGACAACATAAAAGTTTAGGTCCTACTTTTCCCTCTGTGTAACCTGCACATGGCCAAATGAATGGCTTCACACTGGTATCCACTATAGCCTTTATCCCAACGTACCCATACAGTGAGGGAACAGGAACCATCTCGATTCAGAGCTGGAAGACATGGCCCCGTGAGGGGAAGTTTGCTTATAGGTGATCAGCACCAGAACACATGTGCAGAGAGGTCCTCACATGTGCTGGGGCTCCCACTTTCCTGGACTGGCTGCCTGCTGTCGGACGGGTAGCTATCTGAGCCCTCCACCATGTCCCTGTACCCCAGCTCTTTCCATTTCCATGGGCCTTGACTTGGCCCTTTGGCCTCAACAGCCCGATCTGCCAAGGTCCTGGGAGAACTGGAGGAGCCATGTGAGGCCAGCAGAGCTTCCATCTCGTCCTGAAAGGCACAGTGCTCTGGGCTGTGGCTTTGCCTCGCTCGACAGGAACTGACCCAGAGGCTTCTGAACTTGGTTCAACACTGCTCCAGAGTCTGGTGGAAACCTTGTTAACACAATAGCTCAGTGACTTCCCCGCATAGCTGGCTGCTTTATTGGTGCACCTGGAGTTTCTCATAAAACCGAGGCTCACTGAGAACACACAGGAAAGTCCCGGCTTTCTCAGAGGCCCAGACTGCCACTTTCTTGTCTGCCGAGGCCAGCTATTTTGCGTCACCCTGATTTTTTCTTCCCCCTCTGCTGGCGTCTCATCGGCTTCCACTCCAGTCTCACTTGTGCAACTCAAAACTCTTCCTTGCTCTGTAGCTGTGAATATGGGGGGTACAGGTCCCTAGTGTTCTTTCTGATCCAGCCCAGAGATGACACGTGGACCATGACTGGGAAACCCTACAAGTGAAGAAGCAGGGAGGAGACATCAAGGCCCAAGCCAGCTGCAGAGCATCTGTCTGTGAATCTGACATTCAGGGAGGCTGCACCGAGGAGCAGCAGCTCAGATGGGACAGAACTCATTTGAGGAAGGCAAGAGATCAGTCCTGAGACTCTGAAAAAGGGCTCTTGGTGCCTCCCAAAGGGCCTGCACACAGAAGTAGACTGTCACAGTCAGGTTGTTTTGTTTTTCAATCTCCTCTGCCACTCAGGACATAGCACATTGTGTGCGTGGGCACACGTTCATTCATCTCTCATCTGTTCCTCCCACAGCCTATGGCTGCTGTCTGTCTCCTGTGCAGTGTTTCTCTTGCTGTCTCTCTGTCTCCCCTCCCCCTCTATCCTTTATCTCCCTGCACTCTCTGTCCCCATTGCTTTCAGTCTCACACCCTGTCTCTTGTTCTTGCTCACTGTCACACATGCTGTCCATCCCTGTCGTGAACCCTCTGACTCTCTTGCTTTCCCTTTCTTTCAGTCTCTGTCTGTGTCTCTCTGTCTCTGTCACAGTGTCTGTGTCTTCCCGTCTCTGTGTCTCCTGCCTACTCTCAGTATTTTCCTGTTTATTTCCTTCTTTCCCTCTACCTAACAGGCTCCCCACTGCCTGTGTGTGCCTCCTTCCTTCTCGGATTCTTTCAGTCTCTCTCTTTCTCTCTGAACAACTGAACACATCCATTCTGGACCTAAAGGGAATGCAGATCCTTACCCAGTGAGATGTTTCTGTTAGGTCATTCTTCTGTGCAACACCCACGTAGAGGAACATGGTACATCTGTCTTTCCTGACAGGGATATGGCTCCATCCTCACACATGACTGGTGCCCATAACAATACCAGGGTCTGCTGCTACCAATAAAATAGCACCACTCTAGCCCGGGGTGGGGCAGAAACAGGACCACAGTCATCAGATCAAGGGCAAAGCAAGGCAGAGGGAGGTCAGGCCTCTAAGGCAAGGATCAGAGTGAGTAAGGAGCCACGTGATGATGGCACAGTAGACAGAATAAGAAAACAAGCCAAGAGAAGCTCAATGGACCACCTAACACATCTTGCTAACATCTCTGGAAAAGAGGGGGTTTTAAGGTGAGAGTGAGTGCAAGGTGACAAGGGAATTTGAAGAGACAAAAGTTGTCGACCACAGCTCACCTGGGCACCTTCTATCCAGACCACAGCACCTGTCTCCTGGTCTTGACGACCCCTCGTCTGGGGAAGGTTCCTGGGAGCCTGCGGAGTAAGCCAGGCTGGGGGAGAAACAGCCACTGTTAGAGGGCAGCTTCTACACAATAGCCACAGAGAAGTGGTTCTGAATGGGGTCCCTGGGCCAGCAGCTTGAGCTGCATCTGGAAACCCATCAGAGATGCATATTCCTGGGTCCCACCTCAGATCCTCTGAATCAGAAATGCTGGGGGTGTTGCCTGGGAATCTGTTTGGACACACGCCCCAGATAAGTCTGTAGCACACTCAAGTTTGAGGACCACTGCCATAGGCAATGGACTCTCCATGTGTTTAGAAGTTCCTTTCACCAGATTCTTCTTGGCATAACAGCTTTAAAAAAAAAGTTATTTCATGCTAAAGAAATTATGCACATTATAGAAAAAAATTTTTTAACGGAATAATGGGAGAGAATCTCCTATAGCCCCACCACCCAGAGATAACCACAGTACACTTAAAAATACCACAGTAACTCAAACCTTTTATTTTTCTTCAGACCAAAATAATATACTCTTTCCCAAATCCCCACCTTCAAGAATTCTACAAAGAAAGTGGTTCATTTTGAGGAACTTCAGAGGACACTCAGAGTTCTGTGACCCCTGGGGAGGTTACAACACTTGGGATCTGAGCAGCCCATGGCCATGGTGAGTTGGGGGGGGGGCGGAGGGCGACACCTGGAACGCAGTGACTCCAGCCCCTCTTTACTCACAGACCCTAAAGCCTCAGAAACCACACACCACAGAGCAAATGTGTTCCCAAGGAAAGGAAATAAATGCTAAGTGGCAAAGTTTACAAAGATAATTAGATAAGAGTATTTACTTCGCTCAAAAAATACAAAAGTGGGGCCAGCCCGGTGGCATAGTGGTTAAGTTCACACATTCTCCTTCAGCAGCCTGGGGTTCCGAGGTTCAAATCCCAGGTGCCAACCTACACACCACTCATCAAGCCATGCTGTGGTGGCATCACACACAAAATAGAAGAGGATGGGCATGGATGCTGGCTCAGGGCCAATATTCTTCACACAGACACAAAAAAATATAAAGCAAATAAACCTCTTAGACTATTTTCCATGTCATCAATAGTAGCTTGCCAATTTAAACAGCATGAAGACGCAATGTTTTCCTCTAGGATTTAGTTATATAAAGATGAGCTGGCTTTTAAAAATTACTTAGTAACCTGTAATGGCAGCTTTCAATTAAGCAGGAAAGGCAGCAGTGGCCTTTAGGTGTCCAGAAATGTATGCAGCCAAAGTGCTTCTACAGAAAGAGACCTCTAAAGATAGAGCCTTGGTGTGGCAATGCAATGGAATATTAGTCAGCCATAAAAAGGAACAAAGCAGTGATACAGGCTTGAAACACACTAAGTGA